CACTTTGCCTCCAGACAGCCAACACTCGGGGAAATGCTTTTGGGAGCTGTGGGCGCAACCCCCATGGCAGCTACGAGGCCTGTAGCCCCAGGTAAGTGAGGAAACCCGGCTCCTCCTCTGGGTTTCTGTGAGCCTTGGCCCTGCTCCTACTGACTGTGTGTGCCCTTCCCCCTCCCTCCAGAGATGCCATTTGTGGGCAGCTCCAGTGCCAGACAGATAGGACCCAGCCTCTGCTGGGCTCCGTCCACACTGTAATCTGGGAGATAATAGACGTGAACGGGACTGAGCTGAACTGCAGCTGGGTGCACCTGGACCTGGGCAACGATGTGGCCCAACCCCTCCTGACTCTGCCAGGCACAGCTTGTGGCCCTGGCCTGGTGAGCATCCTGGGTGGGCAAGACCAGGTGTGAGAAGGGGCGTTTGGACCACGGTGAACAGTGCCCAGACTTCACCATTCACCAATATAAAAGGCAGGGACTCCAAGGGAAGTCAGCTTCTTACTTCAGATGGAGCAAAATCCTATCAACCCGCTCAGCCTTGGTTTCCCCATCTGTGAATGCAGAGTGTGGCCTCAACTTTGTTGGCCTCCCAGTTCCATTAAAGCTCTGTGGGAATCTGATCTATGCTGTTTTCTCCCCCACCCGGGTCAGGTATGCATAGACCATCGATGCCAGCCTGTGGATCTCCTGGGGGCACAGGAATGTCGAAGCAAATGCCATGGACATGGGGTAAGCTGGGATGGGGCAAGTGGAAGAGGAGCAGGGAGCCCCGGGAAGGGAAAAGGAAGCTGGGCTTTGGAAACACATATCTGGGTTCTAATCCTTGCTCTACAACCTCCTCGTTGTATGACCTGGGGCAAGTTACTAACTTCGCTGAGCTCAGTTTCCCCACCTATTAAATGGCTATAATAGTAATATCCGCCTACTGGAGTACATAAGATGAGTATGAGAGCATCTAGCACAGGCTGGGCATGGTGGCTCACGCCTATGATCCCAGTATTTTGTTTGTTTGTTTGTTTTGAGACAGAGTCTCGCTCTGTTACCCAGGCTGGAGTGCAGTGGCGCAATCTCGGCTCAAACGTTTCTCCTGTCTCAGCCTCCTGGGTGGCTCGGATTACAGGCACGCAACACCACACCCAGCTAACTTTTGTATTTTCAGTAGAGACGGGTTTCACTATGTTGGCCAGGCTGGTCTCGAACTCCTGTGAGATAAGTGATCTGCCTGCCTTGGCCTCCCAAAGTGCTGGGATTACAGGCGTGAGCCACCGCACCCGGCCAAATCACAGGATTTGGGAGGCCAAGTCAGGAGGATCATTTGTTCAAAACCAGTCTAGTCAACGTAGTCAGATCCCATCTCTATAAAGGAAAAATGTAAAAATTAGTCAGGCGTAGTCGTGCACACCTGTGGTCCTAGCTACTTGGAAGGTTGAGGCAGGAGGATTGCTTGAGCCCAGGAGTTTGGGACCGCAGTGAGCCATAATTGCACCACTGCACGCCAGCCTGGGCAACAGAGTGACTCTGTCTTACTTGCTGTCTAAAATAAAAAAATTAAATTGAATTAAATAAGAAAGCAAGCATATAGCACAGTGTCCAGCACACAGGAGGTGCTCAGTAAGTGTTAGTTTGATCTGATTTGCTCCAGTATGGATAAAGACCCTCTCTCTGGTCTCTAGGCCTCATCCCCAGCACAACCTCCAGTTGTAGAAATCCGAGATCTTGAGAAGCTGGAGATAAGGAGACAGTTCCAGAGTGCAGTATTCCTCATTGCTCTCCTTGTACCTCCTAGGTCTGTGACAGCAACAGGCACTGCCACTGTGAGGAGGGCTGGGCACCCCCTGACTGCACCACTCAGCTCAAAGGTAGCATGGGGATGGGGGACAGGGGCAGCTGGGAGCGCAAAGCGGCTCACACTTTATCTTTCCCCCTCGGCCCTCTCTTTCTGATCCCCCTTTGCTGCTGGTTCCCTGAGTCCGTGCCCCTTGCCCTCTTCACTCTCCCTGATCACTTAACTTCACTCCCTGCCCCCTGCTCCTTCATGGGTCTAGAGTTCTTAGCCCTGCCCTCCTTTGTTTTTTTGGTTTGCTTGCGTGTTTGTTTTTTTGAGACGGAGTCTTGCTCCGTCACCCAGGCTCACTGCAACTTCTGCCTCCAGTTCACTTGATTCTCCTGTCTCAGCTTCCTGTGTAGCTGGGATTACAGGCACCCACCACCGCGCCCAACTAATTTTTGTATTTTTAGTAGAGATGGGGTTTCACCATCTTGGCCAGGCTGGTCTCAAAATTCTGACCTCATGATCCACCTGCCTCAGCCTCCCAAAGTGCTGGGATTATAGGCGTGAACCACTGTACCAGGCTAGTCCTGCCTCCTTTAAACCTGACTTCTGCCCACAGCAACCAGCTCCCTGACCACAGGGCTACTCCTCAGCCTCTTGGTGTTACTGGTCCTGGTGATGCTTGGTGCCAGCTACTGGTACCGTGCTCGCCTGCACCAGCGACTCTGCCAGCTCAAGGGACCCACCTGCCAATACAGGTATGAGCATCACCTTCTTGCTACCACTTCCTTCAACTTGGGACAGTGCTGAAGCCCGCCTCACCGCTGTAGCCCCCGCCACCTGGTTCTGAGCCCCAAGCCCCTTGGACCCTAAACTTGCTGACTGCCACAGCCCCACACCTTCCTTCCCTATACATGCCCATAGCTCTTCACCTCACAGCTGTGCCCCTGTGGGGTGGCTGGAGTGCTATGGCCATTTATCCCCAGGGCCCCTATGCTGGATAAGCTGGGCCTTCCCTCAAGCTAATCAACCCCCCCACTGCCACAATTTTACCTAAACCACACACAAGTGCCTGCAAAGGGATAATGCCACTCAAGGATGGCATAAAGTAGAGAACAGGGTCTGAGCCTGGGCCCTCTCCCTCTTTTGCCTTTCCTCATGCTTAGGGCAGCCCAATCTGGCCCCCCTGAAAGGCCAGGACCTCCGCAGAGGGCCCTGCTGGCTCGAGGCACTAAGGTGAGTCCCAGATGCCAGAGGAAGGGGACTGTAGCTTGGCATCCAGCTTGTGCCCTGGGGGGTAGGCATTAGAGGCTCCAGACTCAGAGAAAGGCTAGCACTGCCCAAAAGTCAGTCGAAGGAGTCGGGGCCAGCCCCGCCCTGCCCTTCCCTCCCCTCCCCTGGCTACAGGCAGAGAAGCTGAGTCCAGAAGAGTGGGGAGGGCAGCCAGCTGGAGCAGGGGCTGCTGGGCTCCATCCACTGGCTGAGAGGTGACTTTGAGAGGTGGGTCTGTCCATGCCCCCAGCAGAAACCCCAGAAGGGTACAAGGGCGGTGTTGCTCAGAATGGCCTTCTGTGGGCCCAGATCACCATATTAGAAGGGCTGGTGAGCACCCCCGCCCTGAGCCCTCTGCTCGGATAATGGGAGTGTGTGCATGCCCTCTCCACTTGCTCCCCACCTGCATGCACCTGCATAACTGCATGCATACCGCCCACTCCCCGGGCCCTGCCGGCCCTCCCTGGGCACTGACACTTCTCTGCCCACTCTGTCTCTCTGCTTCCTCTTTCCCTTCTGTGCCTGTCTGCCCCTCCTACCCTCTCAGCAGGCTAACGCTCTCGGCTTCCCGGCCCCCCCTTCCAGGCCGCTGCCGCCTGACCCTGTGCCCAAGAGACTCCAGGTAAATCTGGGCCAGGCCCTGCCCTGAGCTAAGGCAGGTGGGAGGCTTGATACCCAACTGCAGTTCTCATCCCTGCTCCCTGCCAGCGGTGCTCTTCATTAGGTGATCGGGGTGCCCCTCAGCCTTCAGACACTCTGAGCCCCAGAAGCAGCAAAGGGTGAGCCTCCTGCCTTGGCTTCTACCACCATCTGGTGGTCAGTGGCGGGACTGCAATCGACCAGGGCCTCCGCGGTTGACCTACACCTTCCTCCCCTGAGACATCAGCTGGCATGCCTCCAAGCCCTCTGCGCATGCCCTCATTCTCTCCTGCCCCCTGGCTGACTTTGCATGTTGACTTGAACCCCTCCGGGGAATCTCTTTGCATGCCTACTGCCCCTGGCTATGCCCTCACAGCCACTGCCCCTCTCTCTGTTCAGGCTGAGCTGGCTGACCGACCCAATCCCCCTACCCGCCCTCTGCCCGCTGACCCGGTGGTGAGGAGCCCGAAGGTAACGGTGCGGGGAGAGAAGGGTACAGCCTCTCCCCCCACCTAGGGCTGTGGTGCTGATAGCCATGATGGTGGTGGCAGTGGTGAGATGTCCCCTCAGTGTATGAGGACACATATCCCAGTGGTGCCTTTAATGGTGACAGGTTTGTTTGCAGGCAAAGGCGACCTCTGATGCTGCCCCCAAGCTGTTGTTCCCCAGCACCAGTGCGTTGGGGGTGGGTATCATGAAACCCTCACACACACACACCCAAGCCGGCCTCCTGACTTCTTTCCCTCAGTCTCAGGGGCCTTCCAAGCCCCCACCCCCGAGGAAGCCACTGCCTGCTGACCCCCAGGGCCGGTGCCCATCGGGCGACCCGTCTGGCCCAGGAGCTGGAATCCCGCCCCTAGTGGTACCCTCCAGGTAGGCAAGGAGGAGCCCTGGAGATGGGTGGGTGGGGCGAGTGATCTAGGGGAAGGGACCTCTGACCCTTTTTTCTCGGCTTCCCGCATTCCAGACCAGCGCCGCCACCTCCAACAGTGTCCTCGCTCTACCTCTGACCTACCTGGAGGTTCCGCTGCCTCCAAACTGGATTTAGGACTTCGAGAGGCGGGTGTGCCCTCTGGAGTCCCCTACCATGACTGAAGGAGCCAGAGGCTGGACGCGGTCCGCACCGCCACGCGCTGTGAAGCAGCACTCTGGCGACCTGCCCGCGTAGCTGCAGCCGGGGCTTGGGGAGGGGCTGGGGCTTGGACAGGGCTGAGGGAGGTGCGCACAGCCTGTCTCTGCTCAGCTGCAATAAACGAGACATCTTGGGAGAGAGTTGCTCGGACTTTGTCTGCTCCTAGAAGCCAGGTCGCTCCTGCTGCGGTTCCAGGTCTGGGCGCCAGGAGACGCTGCCGCCTCAGACGAGGGAGGGCTGTTGTGGGCGGGAGTACCCGAATAGGTCGGCGTGTGTCCCCAGGATGCTCGAGGCTTACCTCTGCCCAGACTGGGGTGGCTCTCGGCGCAATCTGTCAAGCTGTTGGACCTGCCGTCCCCGCTCTGACCATTGGCTGGGAAAAGTGGATCTGACAGATGTTCTCAGAGCCCCGGAGCCAGGGCGGAGCGGGGCGGCGGCTCCCACGATCCCAAGGCTGCGCACCTGCCTCCTCCCTCTCCGCCGCCGCCACCTGAGGGATCGAGAACAAAGGTGCTTTGTACAGGCCGCAACCACCTCATTACTTCGTCTTCGGGACTGAGGCTGCTTGGGCCCCCAGCCCAGAATGAAGGTGTGGGGCGGCAAAGGACAAACGCCAATCCCAAAGTGAGCATACTAGCGCGTCACCTAAGGCTCTTTAGAGAAGGTGGTCCCAAAAGCTGTGCGGTCCCTTACGCTCACACTATCCCTAGATCTGCAAAGAAAACGGGGCAGTGTATGAAGGTGGTTGGACAGGCTTCACGGATCCTCGTTCACGCCTCGCTTTCCCCTATCCGGGCAAAGCTTATGTGTCCTTATGTAAAATCTTCCAAACTTCTAATAAGGCAATCTACCCTGCACTAAAGCAGACACGAAAGGCCTGACCTCCCTATAAATACTGCGGATGGAAGACGCCCTTCCTTGCAGTGCGGTGCAGCCTCAGCGGAAGCTTAGTGCCAACCCGGCGCGCACTGCGGTGCACAGAGGGTTAACTGGAGTTGGCGCTGGGTGAAGAGGAGGAGACGCGCTCCCATTGGCGGAAAGTTATCCAGGGGCGGGTCTGTGAATCTGCGCACCCCACCCCGCTGTCCACAACCCCCCACTTCACTTTTGTACCTTTCTCGCCTCGACTGTGAGGCGGGCCGGGACCTGCCGGGCCAGACCAGACCGGACCTCGGGGGCAATGCGGCTGCTGCCCCTGCTGCGGACTGTCCTCTGGGCCGCGTTCCTCGGCTCCCCTCTGCGCGGGGGCTCCAGCCTTCGCCACGTCGTCTACTGGAACTCCAGTAACCCCAGGTAGCCGGGCCGAACCGGGCGTGCGCCTAGGCAAGACTGCGCGCTCCTGGGCTTTGCGCGCGCTCGCCGTTCGCTCTTTGCGCGGCGCCGCCGGAGCCTGGCCGCGCGCCGGGGCTCCTTTGTTTGAGCCGGCGGGGGAGGGGGGAGGGGCGAGGCGCTCCCTGGGTCTCCCCACAGCCCTTTTGCGTTGGGGGGCAGGCAGAAGACCCCCAGCCCCGTGGGTTGCCTAAGGGGTCTTGGAGCTTGGAGCTGGGGGGCCTTTACCCGCACTCTGGGCTCCGCCCCCCTCGCTGCTCTCCTGGCGATCCCCAGCCTCCCGCCGGCTGGAGCTGGGACGGACGAACTTGAGAGCGAGGGAGGGGGCCTTACTCTTGAGATAGAGCGTGGGTTACTCTCTTGCCCGCTGGGTCTCACCTCTGGCTCTCGCTCTGTCTCCTGATCTCATTTGCTATCTCTGCTTTCATCTCTGTCTTTACTGGTCCTCTGTTTCTTTCCAGTGTCAGCCCTGCCCTTCTAGCCGCATCGCCTCTGGGCAAGTCTCCTGACCTTGCTAACCTCATTTATCTCACCTGTATAATGGGCTAATAATACCTAGTACCCTGGGAAGTCCGGCGGGGTAAGTGAGGTCATGTATGTAAAGGAGGTGCAGGGTGTGCAGATATAAATCATTATTTCCTTCTCTCTCCTGAGCTGCCTGCCTTTGAACCTCACTCTGTTTTACTGTTTCCATCCCCCTCCCCAAATCTCCCTGCCTCTCTTCTGTTTCCCATCTGTTTTCCTTTCTGATTTTCTACTTGAGACAATCTGTGACTCTATTCATTTGTTCACTCACTAACATTTAAACACAAACTGTGTGCCCGGCCCTGTGCTAGGTTGCAGGGGATGCCACTATATAGATGAGAAGATCAAGACCCTGCCCTCTGGGATTCCACAGACTCTCCGGAGAGCCTGCATAAAGACAGGTCATTACAATACCAATACCAAGTGATAAGAGCTATTGTTGTCCTTGGACTCTGAATTCCTCTATCTCTGTTACAGACCAGTGCCTCTGAATCACTGTTAAAATGCAGGTTTCTCACCCCCAGTCTTAAGGCTTCTGACTCATTCATTCAATCCACAAATATTTATGAAGGCTGTCTTGTGGTGGGCACGTTTCCAGGCACTGGGGATGCGGTAGAACAGAACTTACCAAGGCCCTGTCCTCACTCAGCTTGCGTTCTATGCCTGGGCTGACTCAGCCCAGGAATCTTCATTTCTCATCAGAACGGCTACAGGTGGTCCTTGGACCACCCATTGGAGGCCTCTCCTAAGTCACGCTTCACTGTGTTTATGGTATGGGGGGTGGTTCATGCAGCTTTCTCTACAGTGGGGAGCAGCGCGTTCCAGCCCTTCCCTCCTGTGCTGGCTTCCCCAGGCAACTCCCAAGAGGTGGGGGAGTCCCAAGAAGACTGAAGACTGGGTGGTGTGTGGACTCCCTGCCCTGCCTGGCACTTCCTCCTCCTGGCCAAAAAAGGGAGGCGCCTAGCACCCACTCCTTCATTATTATTATTATTATTATTATTATTTTATTTTATTTTATTTTATTTTTTTTCTGAGACGGAGTTTCGCTCTTGTTACCCAGGCTGGAGTGCAATGGCGCGATCTCGGCTCACCGCAACCTCCACCTCCTGGATTCAGGCAATTCTCCTGCCTCAGCCTCCTGAGTAGCTGGGATTACAGGCACGCACCACCATGCCCAGCTAATTTTTTGTATTTTTAGTAGAGACGGGGTTTCACCATGTTGACCAGGATGGTCTCGATCTCTCGACCTCGTGATCCACCCGCCTCGGCCTCCCAAAGTGCTGGGATTACAGGCTTGAGCCACCGCGCCCAGCCAATTTTTTTTTTTTTTTTTTTAATTTTAGAATTTATTCATTTAGAGACCGGGTCTTGCTCTGTCACCCAGGCTGGAGTGTGATTTCATGATTAATAGGTCACTACAGCCTCAAATTCATGGGCTCAAAGGATCCTCCCACCCCAGCCTCCCAAATAGCTGGGATTACAGGAGTGCACCACCACTGATGGCTTTTATTTATTTGTGGTAGAGACACTCTCACCAAGGTGCCCAGGCTGGTCTTGAACTCCTGGCCTCAAGCAATCCCCCTGCCTTGGCCTCCCAAGGTGCTGGGATTCAGATGTGAACCGCTGCACGTGGCCTCCCTCATTCTTTTTTTTCTTTTTTTTTTTTTTTTTTTTTTCTTGAGACGGAGTTTCGCTCTTGTTACCCAGGCTGGAGTGCAATGGCGCGATCTCGGCTCACCGCAACCTCCGCCTCCTGGGCTCAGGCAATTCTCCTGCCTCAGCCTCCCAAGTAGCTGGGATTACAGGCACGCGCCACCACGCCCAGCTAGTTTTTTGTAGTTTTAGTAGAGACGGGGTTTCACCATGTTGACCAGGATGGTCTCGATCTCTCGACCTCGTGATCCACCCGCCTCGGCCTCCCAAAGTGCTGGGATTACAGGCTTGAGCCACCGCGCCCGGCCCTCTTTTTTTTTTTTTTTTTTAACATGATAGTCTTTTCACTTTGGGGTTGAAGTCAAAGGATACTGTTCCTCACTTTGTGTCTGTGTTTGAGGAGACCTTTCCCAGCCCTTGTCTGCACCTGTGTCTGCAGTCACACTGTGGGTCATGTCCATATCTGTACATCCTTGCCTCCCTGCCCAGCTTCTTCACAGCATCCATCCACCTGAGGCTGATCAAGCCTGGTGCTATACCACACCGAGCACTGGGCACCAGGGCCAGAGAGAGGTGTGTGGTAGCTCTAGCCTGAAACACAGGGTGTGGTGGCTTTTCTTCTCGCATCTAAGCTGTGTGGTTATGGGCACTGCAGGCCTTAGCCTCTCGGAACCTGTGAATCAATCATCTCATCCATTGCTTGCACTCTGTCTCTCAAGAGCTGTCAGTCTGGGGACCTCCGGCCTTCCTGAGCTTCTCTGTTGCTCGTGGGCTGGCAGGGGCCTCTGAGAAGGGGTGTCTCTGGCCTCCATGGCCCAGCCATGTGGTGCCCTCCCCTCCTCAGCTCACTCCTGCCTTATGCCTGCAGGCTGCTTCGCGGAGACGCCATGGTGGAGCTGGGCCTCAACGATTACCTAGACATTGTCTGCCCCCACTACGAAGGCCCAGGACCCCCTGAGGGCCCTGAGACATTTGCTTTATACATGGTGGACAGGCCAGGCTATGAGGCCTGCCAGGCAGAGGGGCCCCGGGCCTACAAGCGCTGGGTATGCTCTCTGCCCTTCGGCCACGTCCAATTCTCAGAGAAGATTCAACGCTTCACACCCTTCTCCCTGGGCTTTGAGTTCTTGCCTGGAGAGACTTACTACTACATCTGTGAGTGGCCAAGGGCATGCTGGACACCTCCTAGGAAGGCTGGGGCAGGGGAAGGAGAGGCCTGGGAGGAGGAGGGGGCTGGTCTCTAATGGACATGGGGGCGTGGGCTGAACTCAGGACTGAGGAGGGAAATGTCTAGAGAGGAGAAAGGAGGAGGAGTGAGGAAAGGGGCCAGGGAGGTGAGGGGCCTGGATGGGGCCTGATGCATGGGTGTGGCCCCAAAGTAAGGAAATGCTTTCCAGGGACCTGGAGGGAAGAAATGCTGGGAGCGTCTGAAACAGTCTAAGGCATACGAAGGGGTGACTCCCTGTGCTAACTTCTTCCCAATTTCCCACTCCCCAGCGGTGCCCACTCCAGAGAGTTCTGGCCGGTGCTTGAGGCTCCAGGTGTCTGTCTGCTGCAAGGAGAGGGGTAAATGGGTTAGGGCATGGACCCTACTGGCTAATTTGGGGCCCTGGGAAGGAGTGAGAAGAATCTGGGAGCATCAGACCCCAAGGGTACTGGTGAAGCTTCAAGCTGTGACCTCTTCTCCCCATTTAGCCTTGTGGGAGCTTCCACTGCACCACCGTTCCCCCAACTTCTTTTTTTTTTTTTTTTTAAGAGCGAGTCACTGGGCATAGTGGCTCACGCCTGTAATCCCAGCACTTTGGGAGGCCGAGGCAGGTGGATCACCTGAGGTGAGGAGTTCGAGACCAACCTGACCAACATGGTGAAACCCTGTCTCTACTAAAAATACAAAAAATTAGGCGGGAGTGGTGGCACATGCCTTTAATTCCAGCTACCTGGGAGGCTGAGGCAGGAGAATTGCTTGAACCTGGAAGGGGTTACAGTGAGCCGAGATCACGCCACTGCACTCCAGCCTGGGCAACAAGAATGAAACTCCTCAAAAAAAAAAAAAGAAAAGAAAAGAAAAAAAGAAAAGAGACAAAGTTTTGCTGTATTGCCCAGGCTGGAGTGCAGTGGCAGATCATAGCTCACTGCAGCCTAAAAATCCTGGAGTCAAGTGATCCTCCTGCCTCAGCTTCTGCAGTAGCTGGGGTTACAGGCCTATGCCACCACAACTGGCTAAATTAATTTTTATTTTTAGTAAAGATGGGATATCACTGTGTTGTCCAGGCTGGTCTCGAACTCCTGACCTCAAGAGATCCTCCTGCCGCCCAAAGCATTGGGATTACAGGCGTGAACCACCACGTCTTGTATGGCCTCACCGTACAATACTATTTTTTCTTTTGAGACAGAGTCTCGCTCTTGCTCTGTCGCCCAGGCTGGAGGGCAGTGGTGTGATCTCAGCTCACTGCAACCTCACCCTCCTGGGTTCAACCAGTTCTCCCGCCTCAGTCTCCCAAGTCGCTGGAACTACAGGCGTGCGCCACCCAGCTAATTTTGTTTTTTCTTTTTGGAAGAGGCAGGTTTTCACCATGTTGGCTAGGCTGGTCTTGAACTCCTGGCCTCAAGTGATCCACTCGCCTCAGCCTCCCAAAGTGTTGGACTTACAGGTGTCAGCCATTGCACCCAACCTACTGTACACTTTTTTTAAGGTGGGCCAAGAGAACGGAGTGTCCGGGGCAAGGCCCTTCAAAGCCTTAGCTGGGTTGGTTGTCTGTCGTGGCAGTTCAGGGAAGGCTTAGAAGTTGGGGCTTAGAAAGGATGAGGTCATAGATCACGGGAAGGGAGTGGCTGGTTTGGCAGACCCTGGAGGACCGGACAGGAGGGAATCTGCTAATGGGAAGTGCAGGAAGGAGGCCACTGAAGTGGGAAGACTGATCAGTGCTACCGCCTCCCTCTCACAGAGTCTGAGTCAGCCCATCCTGTTGGGAGCCCTGGAGAGAGCGGCACATCAGGGTGGCGAGGTGGGGACACTCCCAGCCCCCTTTGCCTCTTGCTATTGCTGCTGCTCCTGATTCTTCGTCTCCTGCGAATTCTGTGAGCCAAGCAGAACTTCCCTCTCACCCCAAAGAGCCAGAGCCCTCCCAGGACCCCCCAGAGGAGGAGGAATCCCTGCTGCCTGCACTGGGGTACCAGTCCACACCGACAAGACGGAGCATTGATGGGGGAGATCGGGGCGTCTGAGGTGACCCTTGCAGGTGCCTGTCCCCTCATCACAGACTAAAGAAGAACTGCAGGCAGACCTGGACAGCCTGAAGCAGAGGCAAGACAAACAGGTGTTTTGCAGCTGTTCCGAGGGACTCAACCTATCCCGCAGGAGGACTGGGATTTGGTACGATCAGATCAAGCCAGCTGAGGGCCAAGGCTGAAGACCTGGGGACAGGTGGATTGCTGGACCAGGGCAAAGAAGCAGCCCTGCCATCTGTGCCCTGTGGACCTCTTCCCTGGGGCAGCACCTTGCCCCCCCCCCAGGGGGTCACTCGCTTGTCTTCTATGAAGACGGACTCTTCATGAGGTTAATATCATGCCAGTTTGTATTTTTATAAGTATCCAGACCAAACCTTCAATAAACCACCCATCTTTCTGTTGCCCTCCTCAACCTACTGCCCTCAGGCCCCTTCCCTGATAGCAGGACTCCCTGTGGCCTGTGCTCGCAGCTTAGCTTGGCCTGACCTCCATGCCAGCTGTGCTCAGACCATCCATGCCAGGCCTCAGTGGGCACCCCTCTAGGCAATGTGGGGTGGGTGCCAGTGGCAGCTGTGGAGCTTGGCACCCTCTCTCACCTCCCCAGCCGGTTTCCTGTGCTGAGGAGGGGCAGATGCTCTTGATAGTCCACCCGCTCAGGGCCCTGCCCAAGTCCTGGTAGCACCAAGCAGGGTGCCCAGCAAAAGCAAGGCCTAGTATTAATAGAAAGGCAGCATCTGGGTTTCAGAATGCCTAGGTCCCTGAGAGCTGGTCATCCCTCTCCCTCCCCAAGGGCCCTCTGGGCGGTGCCTGGCCTAGAACTGGGAAGGTGGGGTCAGATCAAAGCCTCCTTCCCCAGCGGCCTCTTTGTTCTTAGCTTTTATAAGGAGGAGGAGGTGGGGCTGAGGAGGGAGGGCCCCCTCTTCTCTCAGCCTACACTCTCTCTTCTACCTCTGGCAGGCGAGGCTGTGATCCCCACAAGGCCAAGTGGGGCCCTCTTTCTGAATGGTGCCCTGGGTGGTGCCTGGGTAAGGGGCGCCCCTTCCCCTGCAGCTGTGCTTTACCCGCCCCGGTGCCCCGCAGCCTCCACTGGCACGGTGCCGGCCTGCCTGGCACCGAGCCAGCGATCGATAGGTGGCTGTTGTGCTGATTAGCTTGGCCCGGCTGCGGCAGCGAGAGGCAGCGTGTGAACACGGTTGCGGGGGTGCGGGGGTGACGAGGAGGGGGGCGGAGGGAGGGGCTCTAGGGGTCCAGAGAGCGACACAGAGGTGCTAGAGTTTTCGAGCTCCTCCCCCACCCTCTTGCACACCTAGGTCAGATCCCGGTCTCTTGGAGGGGGCGGGTATCCTGTCCCCTGCCACCACGGGCCAATTTGAGCTGTCATCCTTCATGTTAATTCCATTGCTCTGGCTGAGGCCTTGGGCAGCACCGCGGTCAGTCCCTTCCCCCATTCGAGGCCACCTTTCAGAAAATGCCTCTCGTAGGTAGGTGCGTCTGGGGCACAAAGGAGAGGGTGGCGTCGGCTGGAGAAGCTATGGGCTAGGTCTTCAGGTCCTGGGTTCAAGTTCCATCTTTACCGTCAACCAGGAGGGTGTCTATACGTTGCCGTGGAAACCGACTTACTGCTGCCTCTACCCCTCCCAAGTGAAGCCATAGGCGGAGTAGACTGGGAGCGACTGGTTAGCAGCCCTTGCCCTGAATTGAGAACTGTGGGGGTCTCACCCAGCTCCCAGCGGCCCCAGGCCACCCCCTCTTCTTCGCGGAACCAGGCGGGCGCGCTCGCTCCCGCGGCTGGGGCTGGCGCGCGGATCCGCTGCTGATAAGAACGCATGTGCGAAAGAGACGCGGGGCCCTGTCTGCTCTCCCGCACTCAGACGCACGCCCTCACTGTCGGGCTCTTCCACTTAACACGGACACACGCCCCTGCCGGCCGCCCAGCCCCTTGCAGGTGCAAGGGCGGATGCCTCTGCGACCAAGGGAGCTGGGCTGGGGAGGTGGGGCGCGGGGCAGGGGTTTGTAACTTAGGACCGCCCAGCCACAGGCGCTCAGGCCAAGCCGGCCTTCCCTACGCTCACTTTGCTCATAGCCTGCGCGGGCGGCTGATTCAGTCCCGGGGCGCGTCCCCATGGAAAGCCAGGGCCAAGTCCACTCATAGGGCCGAGACCGGCTGCAGGTGCTGAGAGGTCTTCCGGGCACAGGGCCTTACCCTCGAGAAGTCCTCGAGGCGCGTTCCAGGGTGCGGTTCCAGGAGGCTGGGCACGCCTGCAAGTTTTGGGGCGTCACCGATCTCCCCTAAACTCGGTAGCGTTAGGTGGCTCAGGGTGGGGCCCTCAATTTCCCGGGCCTGCCCTAGTCTCTCCGGAATCGATGCGAAAATTCCACTGTTCTTTACCTCGCCCAATCTCCCTGTTTGAAAGCCTGAGAGTCTCAGCGACCGGGAATCCTGCTCCACACTTTCTGGGGTTGCAAATCTTCCTTTTCGTCTCCAGATTCAACCCTGAAATTTTGTTCTTTTTCTGTCACCTCCCCTTTTTCTTCCCTTTTGTTAGTTCCTTCTTTCCTTTCTTTCTTTTTCATTCATTCAGCACATTGTGAGCTTCCAGCGCGACTTTCTTTCAGTAGGCCAGTCGCTAGCTGGGGTCGTCGGGGGATCCCCAGCGGTGACGCAATTGGAAAGGGTGCACTCTGGCTTCTAAATAGCCAATAGAATCCCGGGGCCTGGGGCATGAGGTCATCAGCGGTGATGCCCATTGGTTCGGGTCTGGAAGTGAGGAGGGGGTCCCCATAGCAACCGACGGCGCGTCCGAGTGCAACCTGGAAAGTAATGTTTGCCTGAGCTGCTGTGGCAGCTTGGGTAGGTGCTTGGGATGGGATGTGGAAGCTGGGGTGGAGCTCAGCTTCCCAGGTGCTGCACCCCTAGCCCAGGCAAGCTCTTATTTCTCTTGAGATGCGTTTTCTCACTCAAAGTAATGGTCAGGACCACTTAACGCAGAAAGATCGGGAGTGGGTTGGTTATTGGCGACAGCTTTGGGGTCCTGGGTGCAGAGCTGCTGCCACCAGGAATGTTAGTGCTGAGATCCTGTGTTCATCTGCATATCGTCTGCATCTCATTTGCATTCTCTTCATTTAAGGTCAAAGTGGGCAGACATCTCCACATCCCCAGCCCTGTCGCTTGTCTGTTTCTGGAATCTATCCCTGAGTGACTCTGTAATCTGTCCCTGAGTTCTCCACCTTCATACCCCACCTCTCCTCCCACTCTCCAGTGTCTGCTGGGGACGGGATGGGGGCAAACCCAGCTACAGGAGAAAGGATAAGGAGTCTGTTCTCCCTCTGGATGTTTGGTGACAGATGGGGAGTGCTGGTCTGTACTGCCTGGAGACTAAATTGGCAAAGCCAGTGGTGGGGGAGGTGCCCCGGCTGGGTGGAGGGTCTCCAGGGCCAAATCACCCACATGCCTGGCAGGGTGCTGGAACTAGGGATGCCAGGTTCCAGCAAGGGGCAGGCCCGCCCACCTGTCTGGTGCCAAGGCAGCTTCCTTCCTCCAATTAAACACTAATGAGGTGTCATTAACCCTTACCTCGCCTGCCAGCCTTCAGGTGGAACTCAAATTCACGGTCTCACACTGAGGGAAGGGGAGGAAAGCAGGGCTTCGGGGGAGCTGAGTGGTGGCGAGCGGACCAACAGAAAGGAAGCCAGGGTCAGAGACCTGAGCAGCGTCCACGATTATCCTCTGTGGGCTTCTGCAGTCTAGAAATGGTGTCCCACTGGGAGAATGCTCGTGTTCCTTTGTTCCTTGATTCAACAATTATTAAGCACCTCACCTACTCCTACTAAGTAAATACTAGGCTGCATACTAGATGCTGGGGATACATACTTGCACAAGACAAGATCCTTTCCCTTAAGGGATCTTCAAATTGCCCGAGGAGAGAGACTGGCCAATGAATAATTATAATGCAAAGTGAAAATGCTAATACAGAGCTATATATGAAGTGTTATGGGAACACAGGGAAAATGGGTCGTCAGAGAAGGCTTTGATTTTGAAGGACAAAGTTTATAGCAGAGAGGGATGTAGAGAAGTCATGCTGTCTGTAGACTTGACAGTGTGAGGCTGTGTCTGGTTGTGTTTTCAGGACTGCTGGTGTCCGCCCTCCCAGAGCTGCATGTTTGGCATCGTATGTATGTGTGCGAGTGTGTATGTGTGTGTGTTGTGTCTGGAATCCCTTCTCCTGAAACACGTTGTGGTTTTATTACAGATCAATGTTTGCTGTGAAGCTCTTGAGCAGATTGGCCTGAACCTGCCCAGCCCAGGGGAGGGGAAGTGGAGAGCTGATGTTGGCTTCTTGGGAAAGGGTGGGCAGGCACCATCTTCACACCTGGGGCCCAGACCCCTGGCTGCCCAAGTGGCAGCAGGCTGAACAAGGAAGGCAAAGTGTTGGGCCCCAGGCTTTGGTAGGGTGTGTCCAGGGACACACCCTACTGTCCCTGTCTGTCCCCTCTGTTAGAGTTAGTCCCCTCTGTCCCTAACTCCTCAGAGGAGACACAGAGACACGGGGGTTACTGCTACCCCTCCCCACCAAGATCTCAGGCCCCCTCCCCCAACCTGTTCGTCTTCTGTCTGTGGAGGAGCAGGCCGGCTCAGACCTGTTCGCTGGCTCTCCCACAGGGATCGGATCCTTTCCAGGGGACACAGAGGGCTGGGGAATGCTGGAGCTTACTGGGTGGCCGCCAGATACTCCACCCTGGCCCTCTGAGGCTCCCCCCATCCTGGATTCTCCCCACCCACACTAGGGTGCCACTTTTCAGGTTTTTGCCCAGACACAAACATCTTTGCCAAGGAAGCCTTCAATCACTAGGCAGAGGGTGGGGGCCAGAGCTCTGGCAGGGAAGACTTGCTGGGGGCGCTGGTTGTGATGCTACTCAGAGACCTCTGCTCCAATCTCTCTTCTTCCTTGCAGCCACTTTCTTCCTTTCTTTCTTTTTCCCTTTCTTTCTTTTTTAAGAGGCAGGGTTTCACTCTGTTCTCAGGCTGAAGGGCAATGGTGTGATCATAGTTCACTGCAGCCTCGGACTTCTGGGCTCAAGTCGTCCTCCCACCTCAGCCTCCCAAGTAGCTGGGACACAGGCGTGTGCCACCACGCCCGGCTGATTTTTGTATTTTTAGTAGAGATGGGGTTTCGCCATGTTGGCCAGGATGGTCTCCATCTCTTGACCTTGGGATCCACCCGCCTCAGCCTCCCAAAGTGCTGGGATTACAGGCCTGAGCCACCGCCCCCGGCAATAACCTCTTCATTATAAGAAACCCTCCATGAGTCCAGTGGCTCCTGGATCCTAAACAAGTGCTAAGTGCTTCCCAGACATTATGTATCTTAATCCTCATAAGGACCAGCGCCCTGAGGTGGGGCATTGTTCTC